TCCATGTCGTCCGGAGCGAGGTCGTCGGTGGTCTTGATGCGGCCGCCGAGTAGGCCGCGTCCGAGAGGGGCTGGGGGGTTCTCGTCAAGACGCTGCTTGCGAAAAAAAAAAAAAAAAAAAAAAAAAAAAAAAAAAAAAAAAAAAAAAAAAAAAAAAAAAAAAAAAAAAAAAAAAAAAGAAAAAGACAAGGATGGCCTGGCCACTGAATACTTACAGTAAGCAATGACGGCGATGTCGAGCTCCGCACAGGTAGCCAACAAACCGTGCGTCACGGCCTCCGTGTGCAACAGCGAGACCTCAATCTCCAGCGCCGAGATGCGAAACTTGCAGGCTGCGCTCCGCAACGTGTCGGCGTTGATCTCGCTCGTCGAGATGCCGTCTATCTTGCCGCTCTCGACGTACCCGTCAATGGCAGCGAGTGTTTCGTCTTCGTAGTCGTGGCTCAGGTCCTTTCTCGCCATCCCCCACTGGGCTATTCGTCCCACGGGGCCGAGTTGCTCCAGCGAATGCTCGATGCTCCGCGCCACGGCCTCTCTGCTCCCGTCGAAGCCGAGCGTCTTGAAGTCCCGGCCGCCCTTGACGTTGATGACTACCCGGTCCGCGTCTTCGGGGTACTTGGCGAAGTAGCGGCGGAGCAAGGTGAGTGAGTTTTCGTCTGGGCCAATGCCGTAGAACTCGGCGCCGTTGAGGAACGTGCAGCCGGATTCTATGGCGGTTTTGATGGCGGCGAAGTTGGCTTCGTCTGAATTGGGGGTCTGATGGGCGGTGAGGCCTAGATTTGGAGGATGTTAGTGATGGGTCGAGTGAGCATCGTCGGCGATGGAACGGATGGAAATACCCATGAGGCCGTAGCCGATGGGGCCGACTTGCTTGCCGACGATGGCAGGCATGGTTGGGCGTTTACGGTTCACTTGCTAGGGTTTGCGGAATGATGGGATTAGTATGATCTACTAGCTCTCCTAAAACAAAGTGTTGAGGGCAGATTCTGGCAGATATTTGTAGTTCTGGGAGAAGTGTTATCAACTTATTAATGGTCACGTTTACATCTGTACAACCTCCCCCCTTAATTTCTTGTATAGAAGATGCTATTTGTCACCGAACCCCAAGCAAAGCACTTTGTGGAGGGTCCGTTTCGGTCACAAAAACAAGATAAGTCCGCAGAGTATTGGCAGTAATCATCTTCCACTGCAGCGTGTAAGTCAATGTTGTCTTTGGCTCCAGAACGCTACATTTCGGATCGGGACGGGGAAGGCGTCTGGGGAAGCACGACCAGCCGGTGGCGGTACGAGTAGGAAGTTGTGCGAGTGTGCTAGATGGTTGACTAGTTCATGACAAACGAAGACGTGTCAATTCTCGGGGACATTGTTCGGATATTTGTCACAGATTTGTAACTTGGCTCTATGTACGAAGCTGCCTCGTCGTGAGCGTGCTCTTACGTTGCGACATGTCGGGCATTGAAAGACCCGCCCCGGCAGTCAACATCCGACATTTCAAGAATCACCACGGGCAAAGGCCCGAATACCATGCAACACAGAGCGAATGGTTAGTTGCCGAAACCCGGCACAAGACGCGTTGGCAAGCTGCGCCAGCAACTCACTTGCACGTCAATGTTTCCTTGGACCGAGACCGTGTGGGGCCAATTCAACTGCCGCCCCACCCCCCTTGCCGTTGACGTCGTCGCAACTCCAAAAATCTCCCAAGCTCGACATCGTGAAAGGCTGCCCCAACCAGTCCTAGCATCAGACACCGCTAGCCACCTCTATATCAATTTTCTGTCAAGAGCATACACAACCGATACATATCAGAAACACCATCCTAATTCCAGTATTCCATCCCAGAAACACCCGCCACCATGGCCGCTGCGACCGCCGCCCCCGGCGCGCCCTCCGAACCCAGCAGCATCTTCGCCGTCCCCCGTCCCATCCGCTCCCTCTTCAAGCTCTTCCCGCTGCACACCTACGAGCCGGAGCCTCTTCCCGCCCGCGCGCCAGAACAGTCGCGGCCCCGTGCACAACTATACATCTTCTCATCAGACGAGGATGCGCTCAAGGGCCGACCAAGCTTCAATCCCACCTGTTTAAAGTGGCAGGTACGCCAAGCCCAGTCCGATCCCATCAACCGCGTGCCTCTAACAAAGCCCAGACATATCTGCGCATGGCCAACATCCAAGTCGACCTCGTCCCGTCCACGAACCACGCCTCCCCATCCGGCGCCTTGCCATTCCTCCTCCCCCCAACGACCGACTCGAGACCAGACATTCCCCTCACGGGCACCAACATATCCCGCTACGCGCACAAGTACTCCAGCTACTCGTCAGTACGGGAATCCGCCTGTCCCCGAGCAGAAGCGTACCTCGCGCTAATATCCCAATCCATCCGTCCAGCATGGGTATGTTTCCCCCCCCCGGCCATCACAACCAACCGCACACTAACCAAACGCCTTCAGCTCCACGCGCTCTACATCTCGCCCGGGCACACCCCCCTCCTCGCAAGACTATACCTCCCGCCGTCGCCCCTCGTGTCAACGCCGCTCCTGCACACCCTCCGCTCCGCAGCGACAAGCGAGATCCTCAAAACGACGCGCCGACCGCTCCTCCTCCCCGAGCAGCTGTACGGCGACGCCAGGACCGCCTTCCAGACGCTCGACACGGTCCTAGGCTCCGACGAGTGGTTCTTTGGCGCGCCCGAGCCAGCTCTGTTCGACGCCGAGGTCTTTGCGTACACGTACCTGATTCTAGATGCCTCGTTCGGGTGGCAAGACGATGCGCTGCGGGCCTGCCTCGAGGGGTGTGGCAGGCTCGTCGAGCACCGGCGCAGACTGTACGAATGGTGTTGGCACTAGGAGCCGTGTGAGCGGGCACGCAGAAACGGGGGACGCGCGGTCGGATTCCATATTTACTCCTGTACACTAGAGGTGTTGGTGCCAGCGCAAGCATTGGTTATAGATTTTGCCTGATTGTATAGAAGGGCGGCACATGCGACACTACTCTGCCCCGTTTGCCTGTCTGAAATGGTGAAAATATGACTTGGGATCAGGGATATTTGGCTTTTTGGCTTTTTCCCACCCCATCTTTGGCGAGGTTGCGGACCTTGCGTACTATGGATTGTCTCGAGCATGAATACCAATAATCATGGGAGCATGGAAACCCATACGGTTTTTGATCTATTCAATTCGCAGAAACACGGTTGCAATGCAACAATACCACACATGTGACGCTAGTCTCTGAATACACGACCGCATGCCACGGCTGGATATTGACACCGTCTCTATCGCTGTTCCGCTTCCGCTATCATTCTCAACTAACATACACGTCCGTCCCCCCCCCCCCCCCTAACTATTTTCCCCAAAACCCA